TATATATATATATATATATATATATATATATATATATATATAGGTCACTCACTGTCCCTCAGGTTGTGGCATGTTTATACGTATTGGGCAGCAAGATATGCCCTATCTCCTCCTAGGAGTATTTTTAATTTTTTGAGATCTCTCTCTCTCTTTCCCCGCCCCCCCCTCTTTCTTCCTCTGTTGGATAATCCTGTGAGGAATGTGTGAAAGTGGCTGTGTATCCAGCCTCAGAGCTGCTCTCCAATACCAAAACACCTCCTGCTGCTGTGATAATGAGTTGTGGTTGCAGTGGAAACCTATATAATGTTTGTCATAACAGAGCTCCTCTGGTGAAAAGGTTTGGGATGAATGTTGTCCATCAGGAGCCAGCTACCTACAGTCTCACCTGTTGTTGGTTAATGGCAGATAGCTCTGTGATAGGCAGAGTGAAATATGATCACATGTGGTATTTTGAAGAAGATATAAGAGTTTGTTGCATCACACAGATACCAGGCGTGAAGTAGCAAGAACATCTAGTCCCTGACAAAAAGACATATTGGTACATTCTAATCCCTAACCTGAGTCCAACATGTGGGTGGAGCACTGCTGAACCTCAACATATTAGAGCATAGTCCTGGATAAAAAGAGCACCATTACTTGTTGACTCTAAATCAAGATCAGAGATGTTCTCTCTTAACTCTTGAGTGCACACAGACCAGCCCAATGCATGCATCAAAAGTGGCATTGAGACAGGAAGTAGTCAAGGTACCGAAGCCTGGGGGGATGTTTTCAGAAAGCTACTGTGATGAGTGGCTCCTTCTCTGGGCTGTTGACGAGTATTCACTGGGAAATAGGACCAGTCTGTGAGCTTCCATTTAAAACACCAGCAGTCTGTGTTTTGATAGGCATCATGTGGCCCTCAAAGAACCCATGACATCCTGTGAGCAATGGTGATGTACTACTGTTTGCGAACTGTTTGGACTAAAATTAGCAGTTTGTTTTTTTCACTAGGGAATTAATGTGCTGATTACTTTCTTGATTTGTTAAATAATTGTTTGGATTATAAAATTACAGAATTGTAGTAGTCGTGACTCGTGAAACATTTACCTTTCCCAGAGTCTTATTTCCAGATGGAGCTCTGGCTACTTTTCCTGATTTCACAAAAGTGAAATGAATCAAAATAAATGTATCGTCATTAACTCCATTGGTCCCCTTCAGTCTGCAGCTGCCTTTAGTATGATGTCGTCACCTTCGATACAATTACACATTAACAATAAACTTGAGTTGCACCAAAACAGGCCAGGACCAGGGTCCTGGCCTGTTTCTGAGAGAGGTGGTTGTTATCTTTGCTGTGCAGACCGTGGCAGCACTGTGTCACGGTTAGGAACTAAATTTGATGTCAGCCATATCACAACAATCTCAGATATGTGAAGGTGTATGGCTATAAGAACATCAAGTACTGCACACATATACTCCGGCTTCTAGATTCCCTCCTATTGTTTAATATTGTGGGGGACTGTGGTGTGTGTGTGTGTGTGTGTGTGTGTGTGTGTGTGTGTGTGTGTGTG